TCAAGTGGTCACCCATCTAATTACAAACCAGGGTTGACGTTGTTTAACTTCGGTGATCAGATGGGAACTGGCATTTCAGCGTGATATGGCCGTAAGCATTTAAAGAATCGCATTAAAAAGCTAAAATTTTTCAAAAAAATGAATTTGTAAAGTTTCAAAAATTAAAAGATACAAAAATAGGTTTCCTGGCATAGTAGTTAACCATTGCCAATCAGGCTTACCGAGGCGTGGTTATTAAAAAAAAACTTTAAGCCTAAGCACGCACGCACGCACGCACGCACCCCGCCCCCTCCATCACGCCCGGCAGTATTTTTCCTTTGGGAGGGGCCTGGAGTCATTACCCAATACCTGAGACGTCTCCAAAATATTGTTGAGCCCTGGGGATTCCAATCCTGAGGCAGCACCTTACTCACTGCACTTGTTGGATAGGTTTAATACCGATGCGAGCGCAATAGTGGTCACAGGGGCTGGGGGGGGGATCAATTTTTCTCCTTGGCCCATATGCATAAGTATACGCATGCGCTCCCTACGTTAAAACGGCTTTGTGTCACATTCAGCCTTGGGGGTGGGGAGACCGAGTAAATATACCTGATGCCTCTTCAACTGCTTTTCTTTTTTTTCTCTCTCTCTCATTTTAAGCATTGAACTGAGATTACTGCGATCTTTGTATACGTTTTCAGCTACAATTATTACTGGCTGTTTTTTTTTTATCATTATTTTATTTTTTCATTTTACAGCCATGTGTCTGTCATTTAAGCAAATATTATGGATAAAGCTAAAAACTGCGTATTCGGAAGCTAATTGATTGATCCAGAAAATGTCGGCGGGTTAAAACACAGAAGATTTTCAATGCAATTAATTTGTGATACAAATAATAGTCTCTTTATTTTTAGACTTATTCCTTTTGACAGGAATAAAAACGTTTCCAAGTTTAAATCTGCTTTTTGAGATTAATTTGCTTCTAGTTTGGTTGTAATATCCTAGCCATAAACAAGTTACACACCACCCAGAGGAAAATATTGTTCGCATCTGTGTTGGAAATGAATAAATATTCGTGTTAAACACAAGCATAACTATAGAAATGAACTAATGGAAAAAAAAGCCAAAATAAATTGTTACAATATATACTCGACTCTCCCGTCGAATTCGACGTATGAGAGTCAATCAAATCAGTTCCCAGGTAACCGACAGACCGACAACAGCACATGATATTTGATTATAGTGGTGAAGGTTTCGTGCAGGACCATCCACACTTTTTGAAGGGCCAAATACAGAGACCTGGTGCACTAAGTACCACAAGGTCCCCAAACGACACTCCGCAAGTTTTGAATTCAGAGTCTGTCTTGCTATTTACTCATAGCTGGAGGGAGAAGAGGAGGGTTCATATCAAGGGTATTAGCACGTAAGTGAATGTAATGGATTCGACAGGAATTCGAACTCGGCTCTTCGATTCCTCAATCCAAGCCGCTATCCATTACTCCACCGTGCCTCCTTGAAATTCGTTGAAAAATACACCCCTACCCTACCTAGATACAATACCTACCTACTGATACAATAATAGTTAATAAAAATGAACACGCTACCGCCCCTGTCTAAATGATTGGATTTTTTTGTATCCTTGGTAACAAAAAATTGTATGTGCGTTTAAAACTAAGTAAATTTTAAAATAAGTTATTCCAAAACTCGCTTGAAGATGAAACAGAACTAATGCTTTTAATTTAATTATGTATTTAAATCTGAAGTTTTTAGCTTCAGTTTTTGAAACATGGTTATTACTGTGTAGCGAAGGAACCATATTTTAAATCAGTTAATTTATAATATTTATGCTCTGTAAATTTACATTGAGCACTGTTTTGGAAAAATAAAAATATCAATAACAACACCGGATTATATATCTTAATGTTCTTTCTTTAATATATATATATATATATATATATATATATATATATATATATATATATATATATATATATATATATATATATATATATGATTTTTGCAGAAGAATTGGATTTTAAGAGTTATCTCCTTGGATCAAATATCAACACTGAGTTATTAGATTTGTTGAATTTGTTTTCGATTCACCCCAAGCAAGGCGATAATGCCACTAAGACACAAGGGGCTACTAAGACGCAAGGGGCTATTGAAAGAGAATGAGAAGAAGAAAGAATTGGAAACGCCATTCTAAGCAGGAAACAAGGGATAAATCTCTACTCCTGTTCAAAAGATCGGGGAGGTGTGTGAAGCGGGCAATAGGCGAATCTATATACGATTGGACGACCATCCTATTGGCCTTTTCCCTAAAGTTACAGTACAAACGATCATTTGTATGTTTACAAATTTCCGCATTTACATTAAAACCTATAGTCAACTAAGAATACTGAAAATACAATAAATCACTAGTATTTCATTAAAGTAAAAATAAGACTAAGAGCATATACGATCTTTTGTGAATATCTATGCAGATGATTGATTCGTTTTCTACAGCTTAGCAACCCTTTGCAGGTTATTTAAAGCCAGAAATTATTTTTACATTCGAAGTATTTTTGAGGCGAGATGATAATGATTGATTGATACAAGACTTACTAATTAACCCATAGCTGTGGGGAGAATAGGTAGATCCGCACCTTTCCCAGGGGCATTTTACTCGAAATTGAACACAACGAACCCAACTGGAATTGGAACTTGGCTCTCCGATTAACAATTTCGAGTCATTATCCATTATACCACCCACAAATCCACCTTCAGTACCTGGTATTCTCAAGCGGTCACCTATCTAGGTACTGAACGGGCTCGACGTTGCTTAACTTCGCTGATCTTACGAGAACCGGCGTTTCAATGTGATATGGTCGTAAGCTTTACACATATTGTGGAGTAGCTGAACACCTCCACAAGATTGATTGGTCTAAGTCTATTTAAACAGTACTCTCTCTTACTGGGGCGGGGGGGGAGCAGTTAACGTTTATAGTCTGCTTGTCGACTCTCTGCCTTCGGGGTGGGATGTCTCAGGCATATACCGAAGAGTTAATAATTAATAGCTTATTACATTAATCGGTACCATATTATTCTCCGAAATAAACTACTTCTTACTTTCTATATGTGTGTCAGCCTTTCCTATTTACGACACAAGATGATAGAACAGTCGCACTTTTATAAGGGAAACACACAGGCGTAGTTGTAGACATCCGTGGCAAGCGAGAGTCGCGTCGATAATAGCCAGCACTCTGGTATATTTGTGTTTGTTTTAAAATTTGTTTTGAGTAGATTGCGGCGTGTGTGTGATTTAGCTAAACGAAAAATGTTGTGTAGTTAGGGGTATATGTTTTCTAATAATTGCATAAATCTGGTCTTAATTTATTATCGCTAACTATATGTAAATTGTGTTGTTCTCCTACAAACTGAAATCATACAGATTACTGTAAAAAGCCTACTTCATGTATACAGAAACCATACAGACTGCGTCAAAGTCTATTTCATATATTGTACGAACCCTAGTGTTTTGTGGATAAACCTGAGTTTTTCATATAGCGCGTGTATAATGCAGCCACAGCTTCTGAGCAATAACAGTGGGCTTACTGTAGTCAAATATAGCAGTTATGGTCATCATGCTGTACATATTTTTATGGCAAATAAATGAGATATACTTTTATAATGCTCTTCAAGTTTGTTGATTTCTATTGATAAGATTACTGTATATGTCTTAAATAAAGCTACTAGAATTAAAATTCATTTGGTATTTCATCATTTATTGCAGTGTATCTTGTCAAAATATTTTCAGAATATGTAACGGAGAATTATAAGATGCAATAATAAAAGGTTTAAAGAATATAATCAGGAATATAAATAAAAAGTGTAAGACAGAATGAGGAAAAACTGAGGTATATACGATATAGAAACGCAGTTATAAGTATTTAATTACACAAAAACCAAATTCGTCTTTTTGTGCAAAATTTATACTCCTTACCAAATCTAAATTGTTTCGTCAATCACAAAAACCTAGTTAGAATAGAAAGTTATATGAGGTGCAATCAAGACTCGAACCACTGCGTAAAATTTGAAAGGACAAACAATTATTACAGTATACAGAAAAAGGAAAAAAAAATACAAAAATTTTCATGAGATTCTTGCACAAAAATTTCCTTTTGTGCGTCTTACAAATAACTAAGACGGATATATTGCAAAAAAAAGATTACCATCGAAAATGAAAAGAAAAGTTTGCCATTTCAAAAATGACAAAAAGAGAATGCAATTCAAGATGCAGAAAAACAAATATGCAACCACCTTTCAGAAAAAAACGAAAACACCTACTTTTAATTGTCCCACGAGCGTCTCTGGGACATACAACAATTTTGGAAATGTTTTTTTCTATATTCACACTGTTTGTGATTGGGAGAATTTCTTGGAATTCTTTTTTCATTGTCCAGCCGTAGAAGAATTTTCATTTGAACTTCCAACTTCTTTAGTCTCACTTCAGCTGGCTTTTAACCTTGTGCCTTCTTGCCAAAATGCTTTATTTTCCTTTTGATGTCAAATGCTTTCTCCTTGTCAAAATGTCTTCTTGATGTCAAAAACTTTGCCTCTTATCTACTAAAAAGAGGGGCACACTCCCATTCGGGTTCTTACTAGGGCTTGAGACCACGACGAAATTTTTTTTCCATAAACTTGCAATGGATCCTTAACAATTATGGCGGTCGTTAACCGCTAAGCATTAAAAGATATACGTATGTAATATTTTTGACACCAACTGTCTGGCTTTCTTAAAATACTCTTCTCTCAAAAGAACGTGTACAAAAAAAAAAAAACCTAGACGATTAAACATTTATTATTACACGAAAGACGAACAGTAATAAAAAAAAATTATACATAAGACAAAAGGGTGTTATTGGAAAAGCAATACTTCAGCGCTGTAAAAGAAGATGAACGCAAATTGAAAAAAAAAAAAACATTGTTAATTCTTCATTTATGTAAGGTATTTGTAGATTTTAAGCTGCACACATAGTGAATGCCGTTCTGCTGTTAATATTTAGCAGCCCCCTCCCCCAACGAGGGATATATGTGGCAGAAGGCCGCGTTTACCGGGGGGGGTCTCCGAACCCGTAGGCTCAGCCAAAAATATTCCCTTAGAACCCGTATAAATGGGTTCAGGGTCTGTCTACCTCCCCCCGACGAAACTTTGCCCTTCGGCAAAGCCTCATCTGGGTTCTGTTTTCTTTGTTACCACCGAAATCCTACTGTCTCGTAATACTCTGCCTAGCTTTTGGCAGGCGTCTTCGACCATCCCAATACGTCTTCGGATCTCAGTGTCGCACTTACCGTCCTCTGTCAGAACATTTCCCAGATAATTAAATTTCCGTACCTGCTTGATTCCCGACCTGTAAACTGCATTTCGGGCTCATCTTTTTGCTAATGCCCATGCATTCTGTCTTCTTGTAGTTTATGCTTTGTCCTTCTTCTTCTCTCTCTCTCTCTCTCTCTCTCTCTCTCTCTGTGTCTCTCTGTGTCTGTGTCTGTGTCTGTGTCTCTCTCTCTCTCTCTCTCTCTCTCTCTCTCTCTCTCTCTCCTTCGCTGCCTTCTGTAGGAGGTTTTGTAATTTCCTTTCCGTGTCTGCTACCAGAAGTGTGTCATCTGCGTATCTTATGTTGTTAAGATTGTAGCCGCCAATGATGGTAGGATTTCCAATTCTCTCAGAATTGCCTCGCTGTATAGGTTGAATAAGTCCGGTGAGAAGACACATCCTTGCCTTACACCCTTTCTATTTTTGTATATCTGCTGAACTCATTTTTTAGCTTTATGCAAACGGTTTGTTGCCAGTAGTAGTTTTTGACTATTCTAATGTCTTTCACGAATATTTCAAGGTTGCTGAGCAGCTCTAACAGATCTTTGTGGCATACTTTGTCGAATGTCTTTGCGTAGTCTATAAAACACAGGTGCACGTTCTTCTGCATTTGTATTGCTCTTTCTGATAACATTCTGAGTATGTTCCAGTGTCTTTAATGATCCTAGCAGAACATCTAATTCTATCGGAATTGTACGATATATATATATATATATAAAGCCACTAGGATGCAAGGGGTTACTGAGTATTAGAAAATATGAGAAAAACTATTATTAAGGAAAGCGGACAATAAATGAACAAGAATTAAGAAGACAGAAGATAACGATTGACATTGTATTTAAATTTTTGGAGATTAAACGTGACTTGAAAGCAAGAAACCGGAAGAGAGTTCCACAAGCGAGAAGTGCGATAGAAGAAATTGTATAGAACTTCCGATTACATCTAGCCATTTCAACTGTAAAATGAGACTTTGCCGCCAATCTAATACAGTGCTTAAATTCACAAAGTCTAGGTATCACAGAAAAAAGTTCATCAGAACTATTACCATGAAAGTATTTATTGAGAAAGCGCAGGGAAGCAAACTTTACGGCGGTGGTGAATTGACTGAAACCGAGATGCCAGGTCAGGACCAATAATATTGCAGATTCTTCTTTGGATTTTGTCAAAAATCTCTAAATATATAGCAGGAGCATCAGACCTGATGTGACAGCAATATTCAAAGCATGGACAAATGGTAGACTTATAAATATGTAAGATAAATTCTGGAGAAAAAAAAAATTGCCTAAGACCACATAGTGAACCAACTTTCTCAGCTACATACTTAGCAATGGATTCAATGTCACTTGAAAACGTTAGTCAGAGAAGACGCAACGGGTCACTCTCCTGGAGGTTAGCATCAGCCATGAAGATAGAAGATAAAAAGGGTTCTTTCAGATGAATTAAAATCTGAGAGAACTCTTTATGAGAGAGAGAGAGAGAGAGAGAGAGATTATCTGCATATCTTATACTGTTAAGATTGTGGTTGCCAATAATGAATCCTGGTAGGACTTACGACTGCATCTTGAAAAAGCAAAGAGGTTTTGGTAGAATAGGTTACCCAAGTACTCAATCACCTGTTAAGAGTTAACCATTGCAGCATGCAAGTGACAAAATATTTCTGACAAGATATTGGAATATGTTTTCATATTTTATGTACTGTGTCTCTTCATGACATGGCCGATCATGGCTCGCCATAACTTTCTAATAAAGGGTGTTCCAGTAACTTGGAGAGCCACGATCTCCAACGTCCTTAACACTTAGTAAGGTTTTCGCCATTCCGCCAACTCCCTGTTCTGCCATTCGTTTACACAAGTTTGTTCGATAGGATACTCAATGTTTTCCTCTGTTTCACGTTCGTTCAATATGTCCTGTGAGTGTCAAATTCGCCAAGCCCTGTTTCTTTCAATATGTCCTGTGAGTGTCAAATTCGGTAAGACCTGTTTCCGTCAGTATGTCCTGTGAGAGTCAAATTCGCCAAGCCATCTTTCCTTCAATATGTCATGTGAGTGTCAAATTCGTCAAGCTCTCTTTCCTTCATAATGTCTTGTAAGTGTCAAATTCGCCAAACCCTGTTTCCTTGAATATGTCCTGTGAGTGACAAATTCGCCAAGCCCTGTTTCCTTCAGTATGTCCTTGTAAGTGTCAAATTCGGCAAGCCCTGTTTGCTTCAATATGTCCTGTGAGTGTCAAATTCGCCAAGCTTTCTTTCGTTCAATATATCCTGCTAGTGCCAAATTTGCCAAACCCTCTTTCCTTCAATATATCCTGGGAGTGTCAAATTCGCCAAGCCTTCTTTCCTTCAATATGTCCCGTGAGTGTCAATTTCGCCAAGACCTCTTTCTTTATTATGCAACCTAGAAATTTCAACTGTCTCTGTCTGATTCTAAATATATGCGTTATTTTTATTTCCATTTTCCTTAATACTTGTTTGTCATTATTATGTCCAGGACATTGTATTCTCAGTATTCTTTTTTGTGTGTG